TTCTCTTCGTCAATGACGAAGGATGTATGGAAATGATGGTTTTTGTACCGCGACAATCTATTTTTGGTTTTCGTCAAACGTCACTGACCAAACTGACCGTTACCAACTCTGGTAAGGAGTCTAGCATCAAAGTTGATGAATCTATTACATCTCAAAATCAAATGCATTATTTTATTCTGCAAGCGCTGTTATCTCGATATTTGTGTTGCATTGGCCAGAAATAAAATGGAAGGGCAAAAGTCTACATGAGGAGAGATGATTGATTTGTATGGCTGTATTTTACTGGCAATAATTAAATCGTTTTTCTGTCGACATAGAATTCCATACTTCTTGGCAATTTTCTTGATGACATTGTCAATGTGAGAGTTGAACTTAAGTTTGTCATCAATAATCAGATGTATTGTCTAGCATGGTATAAGAGAACATCCTTGAACAACCTTTTCACATGTCTTGGCATATGCCATTGACAGACATGTCCCGAAAAGAACCAGCGAGTCAGTCGTGAATGCTTTTCAAGTTTCCAACGAGACATCCAGCGCAAACTTAAGCTACACCCGAAATCCTTTTGGAACTACGTGAACGAGCAACGCAGGGAATTCTATGGAATTTAACGGAGAAGTTACTGCCACCGTTCAGGATATATGCCACCTTTTTTCCCGACAATTTTGCCAGTGTATTCACTAATGAGATACTAAATAATTGACGTTGACGGCGACTCTGTAGCTCTTTACTCCTATGGTATAATCCATAAGCAAACGTCAGACTGTGCGTGAAACATGGCGGACTTCGTACTATCCTTTCACTCCACAGAAAAATCCCATAAGAAACTGTTAATCTTTTCTAGAAGAGACGATTTTTCGACGGTACCGTCAACGCCAATTGACGACCATATTAACCTGGCTGCCAGGAACGTTCCAGTAAATGATCAAACGCTGGGTGCAATTGATGTTAATGCTGAGATGATTTCTACGGCCGCAACTCTGCTCAAGTCATCCTTCAATCCTGGATCTGATGGAGTTGCATCTGTACTTATAAAGAGACATATTGCTAGCTTGTTAATTCCGCTTCATCGCCTGTTCCGAATGTCTCTCTCCAGTGGCATATTTCCATCTTGCTGGAAATTTGCGCACATGTTTCTCGTCGACAAAAAGGAAGGAAACGAGCTGTGGATAACTATCGAAGAATTACATCGTTAAGTGTCCCATTGCAAGCAGTATTTGAGTGCTGATCAACATGGGTTTACTGTCGGCCGCTCTACAACTACCAATCTGCTGTGTCTCACATCGTATATAACCGATAGCATGTGGGATCGGGTTCAAACGGACGTTATTTATTCAGATCTATCCGCAGCATTCGCAGGCTCGGTGTATGCGGTAATCTTCTGAGTTGGTTTCGATCATATCTTACCGGTCGCCAACTAAAGATTGCCATAGGAGATTGCAGATCAGCTAGCTTGTTCGCCACATCAGGTATACCTCAGGGAAGCCACATGGAACCGTTGATTTTTATACTGTACTTCAACGACGTACACCTGGTCATCGAAGCTCCTCGGTTTTCATATGCAGATGACCTCAAAATCTTCCTACGAATCTGCTCCACTGCTGACTGTCACTTTCATCAACTTCAGCTGAATGAATTCGCTTGTTAGTGCAGAATGGTAGTGAACTCAGCCAAATGCTCTACTATTACGTTGAAACCGAAAACAACAACCGATAATATTTAGCTATGACCTGCTTGGCTCGATAATCGAACGCGTGAATACTTGGGTGTGATCTTGGATTCGCAGCTTTCATTCAAGCAACATTGCATATGTTGTCGATAAGGTGTCAAGAACTTTAGGGTTCATTTTTAGGATAACTAAAAACTTCACTGATATCTACTGTCTAAAATCTCTCTATTGTTCGCTTGTTCGATCGACGCTTGAGTATTGTTCAGCGGTTTGGAACCAAAACTACAACAACGGTGCCGAGAGAATTAAATCTGTTCAACGTCGCTTTCTTCGTTTTGCGTTGCGCAGATTGCCTTGGAATGATTCGTTTCGATTACCCAGTTACGAAAGCCGTTGTCAACTTATCGACCTAGAACTTCTCCAGACTAGAAGAGACACAAGCAGAGCCCTAACCGTGGCCGATATCCTGCAAGGAAGGACAGATTGCGAGGCTATCCTGAGGCAAATTGACCTGAATGTTCAACCCCGACTCACAGTGGTGCCAAGGGTATCAAAACACGCGCTTTTTTATTTACGCTGAAATGGTTGATTAAAGGTACTAGGTGTCTTCTGAGAAGTTTCTTGGGTTACAACACTCCTTCTTATGGTAAAAGAAAATTAAAGATTAATCCACCTAAAAGGGAGATGCAAAATTTATTTTTTTAACATAATAAGATACAAAATAATTGTGTTCGGCAAAGCTGTAGTAAACATTACTGTGAACAACTTTGCTGAAGACTATAGCTTTCTAGCTCTTATAACTGCTGAGATATAAAGGTTTTTATGTGGAGACATCGTTAAAATCAGTTTTGTATCTGTAACTATTTCTACAATATTTCTACATGTCTGGTATGTTGTATTAAGATGTTAGAAATATCAAATTACATAACTTTTCAGAAGACTGCAAATTGCTATCATCAATACTTGAAAAGATATTTACATGTTTTGGTTGAAAATTACCCAACTTCCAATAACAATAGCTTCTAAACGGGCAAAAACGAGCAGGCCATTCATTGAGCAATTGAAAGTACAAGAAAATGCAATAAAATGGTGAAGAAACCAGACCGCCCCCACTTGACCCTTAACCAAAATACTTGCATTAAAACTTGTTACTTTTCAGAATTTGAAATGCCGATTTTGTGAAACCACGGAACTGCTATCGAGTGGGTGTGAAAAGAGGCATACAAATGGATAACCAAGCAACCTGGGTTATTTCTAGTGACTAAAAAAATGACTCGGGATCAAAACGTCAAATAACTGTGAAAGGTTCGAAAGCTACGGAATAGAAACGGCTCGTAAACTAGTCGATCTATATCCAACGGGGTATCTTTGATAATGCGGGTAACTTTGATGGTATAATATAAAGAATAAATTTACTCGCTGTGCTTTTTCCAAATAAGAAACATTGGTTCCATATGGTAGCTTAGGATATTTCCGTTGATATGGTATAAAGATTTTAAATAGTATGTGTTACATATTTTACAAAAATATTAATAATGCAACGGCGCCGGTGGTGTAGTGGTAAGCGTGATTACCTCTCACCCCAGTAGGCCTGGGTTCAATACCAGTCGGCGCCGCCGGGATGTTCTGAGGCATAACATCTCTGATCACGCGTTCCTTCGGATGGGAAGTAAAGCCGTTGGTCCCCGGTTCATGAGTTGATGGGTCGATAGGTAGGGTCCAGGTGTGGGAGCTGCCTTCCTGGCACGTCGGTAGCATTGGTGCTCAGCACGGAAAACAAGATCGACGGAAAAAAACAAACCAAAGGAAAAAAAAAAAAAAAGATGATTTGTCATCTTGTTATCACTTTGAAGACCATCTAGCACCATTTTATAGTATGGATACGTCTATTAACGTCTCTTTAAACTGTTCCCCTACAAGAGATTTTTTATAGTATGGTGCGTGTTGAGTAAATCAAGTTTTGGTGCGTTTTCCGTCGAAAATTGTGAGTATCAATATGTTTGCTTGAAAAAGGCCATCAATTCTCTATTACCATCAGCATGATACAACCTTTCCTAAGTAAATTCACTTAATTTCCACTTTCATCTTAGTGAAAATCGCACATATTTACCATTTTCTGAAAAATGCAGCTGCGCAGGAGGTAACCTCTCCCTGTGGGTGCAAACTTGTTATGCATAATTTGCCATGAAAACATCTCCGATTTATACCGAAATAATAGCAAATAGTTTTCAAACACGTTTTCTTACACGATTCAAGCAAAAGTTTCCACGGGAAATTATTAGTTTTTTCTTTATGGACCGATTTGCCCCAAAAAGCGTCTGTTTTACTTGGAAAATTTGGAAACTATCCTCCTTCTAGTAGTTCTCACTTCGAAATGTAGGTGGCGAAAGCTTGGAAAAGTTTCACTGCAAGACGCCAATAGCATGTGAGTGGAAGAGCAACCTTTCTTCATGATACACTTTTTCTACCTATTTATATAATATTTCTATAAGGCCTGTGGCGAAGACAACATATCAACTCTTCCATTTTCTCAAACGATAGGTATGAGACAGGCACATTCGCATCATCTGCCGCTCAAAGGTAAATGCTTAGAACGAATTGAATATCAAAGGTTCCATCCTCAGAAGAAAGGTGTGTGTATTTGCTCATTTTTCTATGCATTGCTTCCACCTTCGCTCGAGCGCATCGCTACCATAGAGGTAACTATAAGAGCAGAAGGTCCCGAAGAAACGTGCTCAACTTTTTGGCTCAGCTCTGATACTCTTTTCGGTCCCAAGCTAATCGATGCACCCATTGAAACATAGGAAAATCCACGAACCTCTAATTTTATCTGTCAAAGTTTCACACGGACTCAAAACAAACATAGTGTAGTACTAGAATTTAGACTAGAATGGGATACGTTAATCGATTTGCTTGGGACCAATGGGCTAGTCAAGTAGTGAGCCAATTTAAAATCGTTAGTTTCCACCGGTTGGCGCTACTGTGATTGTCGGTCAGATTCAGGCAAATTTGCCAGTCTTCTTGATATGTTGTTTTCGCCTGTGGACATGAAGCAGCCGATTTCATCAAGGAAGTTCTGTTAACAACCTGCATACTGAAGCATTATGAAGGTGATATGTGTAACTATGGGCAATCATCGGTGCAAATATAAAAAGATTAAACATAACTCTTTGCTTCAGTACCGTCAACCTCCATGTCCATGGAGAGGGAAATCCTCAATGTCATTTTCGAACTAAATACGACAATATTTCTTCGCTTAGCTTAGTTTTTAATGAACTGAAAATCTAAAAATTCGTGCGTGGACCACCCTCTATAATGTTTTTTTTTGTAGATGGCAGTGAGAGCGGCCTGGAATTGGAAGAGTATGCAGCATCATTGGCCACATTGCAAGCATTAGCAGCAATGTTAAATGCTGACTGTGTTGAACTACGAACACGAAAAGGTGAAAAAGGATTGACGGGACAATACTTGGTCCGCTCAAAAGTAGACGATAATGATTTTACAGAGATACGCGTGGCTGTGGTTGGTAACGTAGATGCTGGAAAGTCGACACTTCTTGGTGTTTTGACACACGGTGAATTGGACAACGGACGAGGATTTGCCAGACAACGGCTATTTCGCCACAAACATGAAATTGAAAGCGGTCGAACTAGTTCCGTTGGTAACGACATTCTCGGATTCGATAGTGTAGGCAATGTGGTCAACAAACCTGACCACGGTACCTTAGATTGGGTAAAAATTTGTGAGAAGTCAGCGAAAGTGATTACGTTCATCGATCTTGCTGGCCATGAGCGTTACCTAAAGACGACAGTTTTCGGAATGACTGGTCACGCTCCCGACTTTGGGATGCTGATGGTGAGAAAAAATATATATCATAATATATATATATATCATATCATAATATTTTTTGACAGTAATACCTATCATTTGTTTGAATTTTAGATCGGTGCCAATTCGGGTATAGTTGGAATGACAAAGGAACATTTGGGGCTGGCATTGGCTCTCTCAGTACCAGTATTTGTAGTAGTAACCAAAATTGACATGTGTCCGCCAAATGTTTTGCAAGAGAATTTAAAGCTGCTATACAAAATTCTCAAATCACAAGGCTGCCGAAAAGTACCAGTTATGGTGAAAACTGCCGACGATGTCGTTCTCAGCGCAACGAATTTTGTCTCCGAACGATTATGTCCGATTTTTCAAGTGTCAAATGTGACAGGCGAAAATTTGGAATTGTTGAAAATGTTTCTCAACCTTTTAACAGTCCGAACAACGGGAAACGATAATCTACCAACGGAATTTCAAATTGATGATACTTATGCTGTGCCGGTAAAATGATCAAATCAATATCTATATAATATTTGTGCGACCAAATAATCTACACTTTCAGGGAGTTGGAACGGTTGTCTCAGGAATTACCCTTCAAGGCGTGGTACATCTGAATGATGTTCTTCTATTAGGACCAAATCCGCTGGGAGATTTCCAATCAATTACGATAAAAAGCATCCATCGGAAGCGAATGGTGGTTCGGGAAGTTCGAAGTGGTCAAACTGCCAGCTTTGCATTGAAGAAAATCAAACGTTCACAAATCCGGAAAGGAATGGTGCTGGTCAGTCCAGATTTAAACCCACAGGTAAGTTTTGTGTGTGTTTTCTCTTGATGTAATGGTGTACAATGTCTTGAACATTATGGAAAAAGCTAGAATATCATAACAGTTTACCTATATTCGATTATAATATATGATATGATTGTGCTACATACCCCGAATGTCATTTCCTCGAATGTCGTTTCCCGTACGCCAGAACCCCGAATACCCCATTTACCCGAATACCATATCAAAAAGTACCATTTTCCTAACATAATTGAGAAACGAATGTATATCAGGTTGATAAATATAGATTATAAAACTATAGACGACGAATGGCGCAAGTGTTCTAATGCGCAAACATGTTTATTGTTGTTTTACATAACAGGCTGGATGAAGTGAAGCCCCAATGATGAACTATAGTAAGAAAAAATATTCAAGCATGGTCGTAACATTAAAAACATGAAAAAAAACATATATATTATTGTAACTCCTGCCGGCGAAAAACGGAAGAAAACTTTCGACGAAACCATCACGGGTGAAATGAAAGTCGAAGACAGATGCACTGTCGCTCATCACAAGTCGGTCCAATTTGCGTTTTTATTTAAACTGAGTTTTTAATGTGCAACTCTGTAGACTACTCTGTTACTGTTGGATACATAACTGTCAATCTGCAGCATACACCGACTTTTTTTTCATGGTTACATTTTTTCGATTTTATTTATCTGTGCTGATCTTTTGAATGCTCAGTTTTTTGGCACCGGTTCAATAATAATGTAAACAAACAGAAAAACTCGAAAGAATCGCTCATGGGAAAATCTCTATTGATAGTACTTATAAGCAACAGTAAACCATCTGCCATAGAAAGTTCATTTTTAAGTCGGGTTTCTATTACCCGTCAGACTGCCATCACTTATGCACCGCAATTTTCATGATGTTTTACTTAATTATAAAAAACGCCATTCCAAGAAACGGCATTCGGGGAAATGGAGTATATGTTTTCATCGTATTCGGTGTTATGGCGTTCGGGGAAATGACATTCGGTTAAATCTAGCACAACCATATGATATAACGGGTGTTCAATAAAAAATGAGAATTTTACATTTACATTACTCAATTACATTGAGTTTTCGTTATTTCTGGGTGTGTGTCTGTCTTCTCTTCTCCGCTGCTTTACACTTGTGCAGGGTGAAAAATAAGCCAACTTTGTGCTTGCTTGACTCTCACTTTGTATATTTCATAAAATCTGAACATTGCGCGCATTGAGTGACCAGATGACACCCCTGGATTTATTACACACTCATAAAATAAATCAAATATCCAGTGGAAAATATCCATGTGAATTTCACATAACTTTCATTTATTTATTTATTTATTTCGTCAACCAACGTAGACTAGTAAATATTCGAATACAGTTTTGTTTTCTTAAATTTATTTATTTATTTCGTCAACTTTGGACAAAAGGTTAAAAGTATAATTTTGTCTTTAATAAAAATTAAGCAGTGTCAGCTTTCCTATTTTTTATGAGTATTATGCCTTTTTACAAGTATGCAGGCTCGCGGCATAATCAAGAAATGGATGCGGTGTCCTCATCTGTTTATCCCAGAGGGCAGAAGAGGATCGCAGAACCTTGGGGAATTTCTTTTCTTTTTAGCGGTGTCCAAACCTGTGTATCCCAAGTTGGGCAGGAGAGGATCGCAATCCAAAGTGATTCTTTGATCGAAAGTATCTGGCTTTATTAATCAACTGCTTGGGTTTATATACGGAGTTATTGTCATAATACATTTTACAAGTTGTTGCATTGGCATGGTGTGATTTATATTTAATTACTGTAGGCAAAGTGAGATGCCTATAACGGTGTGACAATTCTATGTTTGTTTCATTGATGTCAATGTGCTTGCTAGGCTATTAGCGTATTGAAAGATGTAACATGATCCGCGCATTCGGGTTCGCTGTTCAGGGTGTAGGAAAGGTAAATTAATAATTCTGTTTGGCAAGGCTATGGTATAAGTGAACGCTACTGACGTGAGTGCAATTGCATGATATGCATTTTTCTGTCTTATCGGCAAGTTTAGTAATTTCAATTCTTACAGTGGCGTAAATGATTTTAGCTACATATGACATAATGCTACATATGACATAATACCTTATGGTGTAAAAATATTGTTTTAGTTTATGCCGAGTCATTGTAAAGTCAATGGTTTCGCAGTATTGATTGTAAGAGGCCATCATGCGGTTTAATGGCCCATATTTTGCATAATTTGTGCGATAATGTTTTATGGCAAATAAATTTCGATTTCGGGCTTGCCGAGTAGGTGCATGCGGAAATTTAATTTTGATAAAAGTTCTTCTTCGTGCGTGATTGAAAAAGGAGACCATACAATGCTGCAATATTCCAGTATTGACTTCACATAGGCAACATATAGCGTTTTAATTGTGTATGGGTCCTGAAAGTTATAGCAAAAGCGCTTGATAAAGCCTAGCATGTTATTTGCTCTGTGAATAATTGTGTTGTAATGGTCTATGAAAGTTAGTTTAGAGTCTAAGATAATTCCTAAATCCCTAACTCTTTCACATGTTACTACATTTTGATTTCCTAGTGCAATTGACATATTTGAAGTTGTTCTTTTCCTGCTAAATGATATTAAGTTGCATTTTTTTACATTCAATTCTAGTAGCCTTTTTTTGCACCATATGTAGAATATGTGTATTTCATTCCGGAATATATTGATGTCTTCTTCATTTCTTATTTCCAAAAAGAGCTTCATGTCGTCGGCATAAATAAGCAATTTAAGTTTTTTGAGAATGAAAGAAATGTCGTTTACGTATAGAATAAAAAGAAGAGGTCCCAAATGAGAGCCTGGGGGACGCCTGAAGTGACTTGAATTTGACTCGATTTCTTTCCGTTGAATTTAATTATTTGTTGGCGGGTAATATAAAATATGATTCAAGCCATTTTAGGAGCCCTAACTCAATTCCAGTTTTAATATTAAATATGATTCAAGCCATTTTAGGAGCCCTAACTCAATTCCAGTTTTTTGCAATTTAAAAAGTAGCATTGGTATGTCTATGCGGTCAAATGCCTTGCTAAAGTCTGTATAGAGAGCTTCTACGTGGTTTCCATTATCCATTGCATTCAATGAATAGTCTATAAATTCAAGTAAATTTGTCGAGGTCGAGCGACCCTTGAAAAAGCCAGTAATTCTATTTTTGATTTGGAGAAATAATTTTTCGTTGACAATTGCCTCGAAAAATTTAGGAATGCAAGAGATAATGGCTATACAACGATAATTACGTACGTCAGATTTTCGGCCAGATTTAAAATAGGCACTAGGAATGAGCTTTTCCAAGATTTTGGGAAGGTTCCAGATTCCAGGGACATATTAAAAATACAGAACAATGGAGACATTTAATAAATACTGGAGGAATTCCGTCAGGTCCAGGACCTTTTGAGGCGTCTAAATTTTTTAAAGCCTGCAAAATATCCTGCACTTGAAGTTGATTAAGGCCAATGTCCCTTGAAAATTCTGGAAAAAATGCAAAATAATCGCAAAATGTCGTAAAGATTTCTTGAAAAAATTTTGCAAATAGATTGCAGTTTTTTCCGAGCTATCACCGACATTTTCGTCGAGATGCATTATTGAAGGAAAATTGACAGATTTTAATTTGGTTTTTACGTAATTAAAGAAGTTCTGTGGACAAGGACTTTATTTCATGTTTTGTTTTTGCATTATATTCTTCAAATGAAGTACTGGTAGCTTAATTCAGTTGATCGCATATATCCAAATAAATTAATAAATTATTACTACTATTGTGTTTTTTTTTTTATAAATTTTATGTGCTTTTTGCTTCCGATTTTTCAAGTTTTTTATTTGTCTGTTATACCAGACTGGATTTTGTGTGTTTCTGTTGCGTTTTTTTTTCTTCAAAGGAATTTCTTTCGAAGTTATTTCTGTTAAAATTTTGTAGAACACGTCTATACCAATTTCGACATTTTCTACATTCCTTAAAATTAATTGCCAATTGACACTGTTTAATTTAAATTTTATTTTTTCGTTGTCTGCTAATTTGTTCAAAGACTTCTTCGTATTCGCAGTCGTCGGGTCTTTGGTTTTCATGCACAAATAAAGAATATTCAATTGCTGTGTGAAATGCTTCATTTTTCCACAGTGGATTTAATGATTCGGTCACACAGAAACCTTCGTAAAAAGTCCAAATAGCAATTTTGTTGGTTTTTGATGTGGTTAATTTGGTTCAGTCCTAAATTAGCAGTTTTGTCAAAAATGAACTGCAATGTTTCATTATCCCCAACGACTGGGAGTAAGATGCATTCTTTTTCAGAGTCCAGAATGAAGTCAGCATGGCGTTGATTAAAGTCTCCATAGATGTGAACTTTAACCTCAGCTCAGATAGAATTTGTTCAGCACTTTGGAAGAAGGCTTCATAAGTTCTTTTATGAGCATGGTCTGGTGGAAAATACACTGAGGCGAACACGTGCGTTTCACCGGCTATGTGTGATTTCACCCAAATATGCTCAAATTCTGTAAATTTTGGTGTAAAGAGATGAGTTCTTAGTTAAAATTGGCCGAAAGAGCTATAAGGACTCCACCGCCTAACTTCTTCTGAGTTGCATGAAAATTTCTGTCGTCTCTGAATACATTAAAGACATTTCCAAAGATTTCTTCACTTTCCACGCTTTCGTTCCAGCTTGTTTCAGTTGCCAGAATGACCGAGAAGGATGAGCATAATAAATTTTGATAGATTTCCTTCATTTTAGCTGGGCTTTTCAAGGTTCCCCCAAACTGGCGCGTTTTTTCCGCCGCGGCAGCGAATAATTCGCGGCGGAAAATTCGCCGCGTTTTAAATGCATGGCGGCTTACGGAAGCGCTCAAACCAACGCGACGAATCGACGTTGTTCGCGCGTTTTTGCAGCGTTTTTTGCGTTCTCTTTCGATTCGCTGTCTGCAGCGTTTTTGCCGCCGAAGTTGCGCGGTTTTTGAACCGAAAGTGATTTTCAGGTGATAAAAATGGCAAAAACGGAAATCTTA